TTTATCGGGTGAGACTGTTTTGGTGATGTATTGACTTCACGAGAGGTAAACGGCCGTCCTTCACACGGACGAAAGAGGGAGTGCTCAAAGAGCGGATCCCACAGGAGGGAGGGGCCCCGTGAATCATCGCGGTGCNGCTCTCAATCAGATGCTACGCTCTCAATCAGGCGAATATGTTGTTGCACGCGGAAATAGTCCCGAAAACCTGCGTGACAAGGGACGGGCGCTGTTTTTCTCGGTCACGCGCTGGGGCCGCCTGTTGCCTGTCGTACTGTAATGGTATTTGACTCCTTCCTTGAGAATCATGTTTGCGGCCTACGCCACTTATTTATCGGGTGAGACTGTTTTGGTGATGTATTGACTTCACGAGAGGTAAACGGCCGTCCTTCACACGGACGAAAGAGGGAGTGCTCAAAGAGCGGATCCCACAGGAGGGAGGGGCCCCGTGAATCATCGCGGTGCCCCCCTACCAAACGGCAATCTTACCAGTCTGCGTGACACAAAATCATCCAGCACATGTATCCAACACCAATGTTCGCAGACCCACGAACACCCTCCCTGGTTCTTCACGCAAGTGACCAACCATTGACGAGGCAAGAACGCCCCTGGATACATCAGAAAGTACCACCATGATGATATATGGAGGGGAAACCCGGCGTCCGGGCAAAACCCCTCGAAAAACCCCCTACCACCACAAAAACCGTCGCTATCACAGCGGACCACAACGGCCGCACTTATTAGAACGGCCAAGGCGAGGACAAGAACGCGAGGAAGTACGTTCCCCCGGACGATGGTCTCCCAACTCCTCCTAATCCTGCCATTGGTACACAGATCGCAACAGTTATGCGCCTTTCCCCGCATGGAAAACATTATCGTTCCCAAGTGCTAGAAACTGCTACAGCTACTCCGGCAAATTCATCAACTTGCGCCAGTGGTACGGCAGACTTGCCCTGCTAAGGGCCTCGGTCAGGAGGTCCGCGTGTTGCTCCGTTGTCGGAACGAACTTGACCGCAATATCCCCCGACCTAAACAATCCGCGGATGAAATGAAATCTCACGTTGATGTGTTTCGTGCGACCTGAGCTAAGGGGGTTTTGCACCAACGTTATGCCCCCCTGCTTGTCCTCAAGGACCCGGATGCTGCTACCACTGGCCTCTGGGGCAACAAACGAAAGCACAGCACGCACAAACAACGCCTCCTCGACGCGCAGCTGGGGCCTCCTCCGCGCGCTCGAAAAGCAACTCTTGCACCGCCCTCGCCTCTAGCCTTACCGCCACGTGCAGTACCGCCGAGTGCATCCAGCTGGTGAACTCCTCCGTGCTGCTGACGGACAGGCTCGCCACCGAGGCGAGCAGGGCTTCGGCACTCGTCGGCGACGGGGGCGACTCGTACCTCGGGTTTCGGCGAGGGTTCTCCCTGGTGCGGCGGCTGGTTAATTCCGCCGGCTTGTCGAAGCGGGCGAGCCACCGGGCCTCTGGCCCACGGAGCGCCGGGAGATCCGTCTCGCTGTCGCTGCCGCTGCCGCTGTCATCGCCTCTGCTGCCTCCGCTGCTGCTGTCGCTGCCGCTGCTGTCGCTGCCGCTGCCGCTGCTACCGCGGCTGCTGCGGCGGCGGCGGTCGTCCTCGCCGCCGCCCGCATCGGCCGTGCCGGTCGATGTGGTAGATGGGGCGACGCTCGCGCCCTCCCTGCTCGAGGGGGCGCCATCGCCAGCGTCGCCCGCGCCCGACTCCTGGGGCTGTCTCTTATACACATCTAGATGTGTATAAGAGACAG